TGCAAAATAAAATAAAAATAAATAAAATAATTTATTAACCTAAAGGATAATAGATACTCCATTTCAAATCAATTTCAAGCATGGAATAATTTACTCCCCGTAGAAACGACACTGAATTAGAAAATTCTAGTCTAGTTGAGTTACAGTAAGATGACAATGCTCATCAAAGACCAGACCCAGAAAGACTGAAGGATAAAAGTAGAAATAATTCTAGGATCTATCATCCTAGGGAAAAATACTCTCAGTTGTAAAATGATCAATATAGTAGCATGAATGAGCCTCCTAGAAGAGCAACTACTAAGCGCTAGGGTGATTAAGATCTAAGTCGCTAAGATAGCTATGAGGATCTGCAAAGATTATTGGATAAATAGGCTCCACCTGTGCCCTAAGGATGGGACTATTTGACTCTGCCTCGTAGAGTAAATTTAAAAAGAGTCTAGGAGCCTGTAACTAAGATCCTAGACGATTACTTTGAACCTGTTAGATAAATTGTAAGTCCCTTAGCCCTTAAAGATTGGGAATAAACAATAAGAATTCATTTTTTTGTCATGCTTTATGCTTCATTTAAGTTATTTATCACTATTTTTAGACTTATCCACTAGCACCAAAAGGAATAGTCTATGCAATAGGACTTGTTTTTGTTACTCTATGCTTTACATTGCTAAGTGTATTGGTTTTTAGATGGAGAGAGCACTCTATTTGGTTCGTAGTTGGCTTAGGTAAGTTTAAAAATCCACTTATTTGACTATAATATTCTACCGCATATAATTCTAAGATAAAAATTAGTTTTAATCGTTTTCCTGTAGATGTTATTTACTCCCTACTCTTTATGGTTCTTATTGCCAAAGGAAAAGCTGAGATAAATGAGGAAAAGAAAGGAGCTTAAGCTAAATGCGAGAAATAAAAAAGCAAGGACCTTAAGGACTTAGAAGAAGAAAGTAAGGAAGAATTAAATTAATTAAATCTAATTATTATACTTAGCTAAGGAATATGAGGAAAATGTGAAGAAGGAATTCGTGTACTTTGAGTTCATTAACGTGATCAGAAACTACTCAAGAAGATTAATGGTTAGAACTGACATGGATACTCAGCAAAAGAAGTTCCACTACATCCTTGATGAGATGAGAGACATTCTCTTTCAAAACCCTAAATTCTGCGTAAGATTCCTCAATGAAGAAATAAGAAACTCTGATATCTATATTGAGGGCTCAGAATTTAGAAGACTAGCGTAATAATCAATATTGTTTTTAATACTCATTTAGAACTGTGAAAGAAATATTTGGAACACATTTAGCTTTACTTTGGATGAGTGTAAAGAACCTGAGAAGAGCCTAACTTCATGGAGAATACTCTGATGATGACTTGGCAAAGCTGCAAAGCATTAGAAAGTCAGTGCTAACTCTGACCTCCAACCATCATGTCATTACTAATATTATGGAGCTAGTAAACTTCGTCCTTAATCAAGATCATTAAAGACTTTACACTTTCGAGGAAGTAGAATAGATTCTTAATAATTTTGATTGCGATTTCAATAGCTAAACTGCTGTCAAGAAAATTAAGCAAGTTCAGACTCTGTATTCTGCTATGCAACTATTTTTCCAAAGGAAGGCTGGAGTTAAAAAGCTAAGAAAGGAGGAAGAATCTGATGATGACTATATTGGCTCACCCCAAAAAGTTATTAGAGATCCAGACATGGTAATTAAATTCTCTGAAATCAAGGAAAAAGATTCACCACTAAGAGTTGGTGCATAAGGAGGGAGAGTTGGAAGACCTACAGGAGATAAGAGACAAAATGAAAACGACCACGAAGTGAAAACTGAAGAGTCAAATGTTTCAGCTGAGCAAGTTCATATTGCCGAGGCTGATGATGATTTCATAGCTTTGCAATAGACTCTACAAGAAAATGATGATATGTGGGAATTCGGTTCATATTCTGAGAATCTCAAGGTTCAAAAGAGAAGAGGTATGAATGGTCAAAGCGTTCACATCAGATGTATAGCCATCCTACCTAAGATCCCCAAGCAAGTTGCATTCAGCTGCTATGCTGATAATAAGATCAGAAAGAGATGGGATAGAATGATCTAAAACTTCACAGTTGTTGAAGAAGATGAAGAGAAAGGCAATAGTGTTATATACTACATGGTCAAGACTCCATCCTTTATTCAAACAAGAGATGCCCTTTTAGAGAAGAAAATAATTAAGGGTTTCCCAACTGACGGAGCTTTATCAATTCATTTTAAAAGTACAACTCACCATAATATTCCAGAAGATCCAACTAAATGCCTTAGAATTGATGTTTCTAGCTTTGGAATGGTATTTGAAGATGCACCAGACAAGATGGGTACTAAACTGTCCTGGGTTTTGCATAATGACATTAGAGGCTGCGTTCCTAAGTCCCTCATTAACTCAAGAGCTCTTAAGAACCCTAAGTTAATGATCTAGGAACTCACCTCAGCCTGCCAAAAATTGATGACGAATACTTTGCTTTGAGAATGCCCCTCTAACAGGGAATATCTCATGCCAAAGTTGGATCACAGTATTTATCAGGGTTTTCAGCACCAAATGATATTAAATTCAATTTTACCTTCATTGAATAACTTTCTATATATATCTTTTTAACTTTTACTGTTGAGTTTGTTTATCAAATTCAATATGATGGGGTTTTGGGGTTTTGGGG